TCTCCCATATAGTCTCCCTCTCCCCATATAGTTCCCCTCTCCCCATATAGTCCTCCCCCTTCTCCCCATATAGTCTCCCTCTCCCCATATAGTCTCCTCCTCTCCCCATATAGTCTCCCCTCTCCCCATATAGCTCCTCCTCTCCCCATATAGTCCTCCCTCTCCCCATATAGCTCCCCTCTCCCCATATAGTCTCTCCCTCCTCCCCTATATCTCCCTCTCCCCATATAGTCCCCTCTTCCCATATAGCTCCTCCTCCCATATAGTCTCTCCTTCCCATATAGTCTCCCTCTCCCATATAGTCTCCTCTCTCCCCATATAGTCTCCCCTCTCCCATATAGTCTCTCTCCTATACTCCCTCCTCCTCCCATATCGTCTCCCTCTCCCATATAGTCTCCTCCATCTCCCATGTAGTCTCTCCTCTCCCCATATAGTCTCCCTCTCCCCATATAGTCTCCTCTCTCCCAATATAGCTCCTCCTCTCCCATATAGTCTCCCTCTCCCCCAATATAGTCTCTCCCTCTCCCCATATAGTCTCCCTCTCCCCATATAGTCTCTCCCTCTCCCCATATAGCTCCCCCCTCTCCCTATATAGCTCCCTCTCCCATATAGTCCCCTCCTCCCCATATAGTCTCCCCTTCTCCCCATATAGTCTCCCTCTCCCCATATCTCCCCTCTCCCCATATAGCCCTTCTCCCATATATCCTCTCCCATATAGTCTCTCCTCCCTATAGTCTCCCTCTCCCCATATAGCTCCCCTCTCCCCATATAGTCTCTCCCTCTCCCCCTATAGTCTCCCTCTCCCATATCTCCCTCTCCCATATCTCCCTCTCCCCCATATTCCTCCCTCTCCCATATCTCTCCCCCTCTCCCATATCTCCTCTCCCCATATTCTCCTCCCCTCTCCCCATATCTCTCCCCTCTCCCCATATAGTCTCTCCTCTCCCCTATAGTATCCCTCTCCCCATATAGTCTCCTCTCCCCATATAGTCTCCCCTCTCCCCATATAGTTCTCCTCCCCATATCTCCTCTCCCCATATTCTCCCCATATCTCCCTCTCCCCATATCTCCCTCTCCCCATATCTCTCCCTCTCCCCATATTCTCCCTCTCCCCATATGTCTCCTCCCTCTCCCCATAGTCTCTCCCTCTCCCCATATCTCCCTCTCCCATATTCTCCCCTCTCCCCCATATCTCTCCCCTCTCTCCCCATATTCTCCCTCTCCCATATAGTCTCTCCCTCTCCCCATATCTCTCCCTCTCCCCATATAGTTCTCCCTCTCCCCATATACTCTCCCTCTCCCCATATTCTCCCTCTCCCATATAGTTCTCCTCTCCCCTCTCCCCATATCTCTCCTCTCTCCTCATCTTCCCCTCTCCCCATATATGTCTCCCCTCTCCCCATATCTCTCCCCTCTCCCATATAGTCCTCCCTCTCCCTATATGCTTCCCTCTCCATATCTCCCCTCTCCCCATATTCCTCCCTCTCCCCATATCTCTCCCTCTCCCCATATACTCCTCCCTCTCCCCATATCTCTCCCCTCTCCCCATAGTTCTCCCTCTCCCCATATACTTCCCCTCTCCCCATATCCTCTCCCCATATAGTCTCCCCTCTCCCCATATATCTCTCCCCTCTCCCCATATCTCCCTTCCCCATATAGTCCTCCCTCTCCCCATATAGCCTCCCCTATTCTCCCTCTCCCCATATAGTCTCCCTCTCCCATATCTCTCTCTCCCCATATAGTCTCCCTCTCTCCCCCATATAGTCTCCCTCTCCCCATATAGTCTCCCCCTCTCCCTATATAGCTCCTCCTCTCTCCCCATATTCTCCTCTCCCATATAGTCTCCCCCTCTCCCAATATAGTCTCCCTCTCCCTATAGTTCCTCTCCCCATATTCTCCCCTCTCCCATATCTTCCCTCTCCCCATATAGTCTCCTCTCCCATATTTACACTGTCCTGTCTACTCCATCTCCAATATTTACAAACTATAGATTTTCTCTCATTTCTCTCTGGTAACTTACGACCGGAAGATCCTTATTTTATAACTGCTTGTAGTGAAGAGTTAATGGTGATGACTCCAAAGGTGATGACTCCGGGGGTGATGACTCCATGGGTGACGGTGTTAAGGGTGATGATGTTAAGGGTGATGACGCCAAGGGGTGACGATGTTAAGGGGTGATGATGTTAAGGGTGATGACGCCAAGGGTGATGATGTTAAGGGTGATGATAGTATGGGTGATGACGCCAAGGGGTGATGATGTTAAGGTGATGATGTTAAGGGTGATGACCCAAGGGTGATGATGTTAAGGGGTGATGAAGCAAGTGGGTGATGACGCTGGCGTGGGGTGATGATGTTAAGGGGTGATGATGTTAAGGGTGATGACCCAAGGGGTGATGATGTTAAGGGGATGATGTTAAGGGTGATGACTCCAAGGGGTGATGATGTTAAGGGTGATGATGTTAAGGGTGATGACGCCAAGGGGTGATGATGTTAGGGGTGATGATGTTATGGGTGATGACTCCAAGGGGTGATGATGTTAAGGGTGTGATGATGTTAAGGGTGATGACGCCAAGGGGTGATGACTCCAGGGGTGATGGTGTTAAGGGTGATGACTCCAAGGGGTGACGATGTTAAGGGTGATGATGTTAAGGGTGATGACGCCAAGGGGTGACGGTGTTAAGGGGTGATGATGTTAAGGGTGATGACGCCAAGGGTGACGATGTTAAGGGGTGATGATGTTAAGGGTGATGACGCCAAGGGGTGACGATGTTAAGGGGTGATGATGTTAAGGGTGATGACGCCAAGGTGACGATGTTAAGGGGTGATGATGTTATGGGTGATGACGCCAAGGGGTGATGACTCCAAGGGTGATGATGTTAAGGGTGATGACTCCAAGGGGTGACGATGTTAAGGGGTGATGATGTTAAGGGTGATGACGCCAAGGGGTGACGATGTTAAGGGGTGATGATGTTAAGGGTGATGACCCAAGGTGATGATGTTAAGGTGATGACTCCAAGGGGTGATGATGTTAAGGGTGATGATGTTAAGGGTGATGACTCCAAGGTGACGATGTTAAGGGTGATGATAAGGGTGATGACGCTAAGGGTGATGACTCCAAGGGTGACGATAGGTGTGATGATGTTAAAGGTGATGACGCCAAGGGGTGACGATGTTAAGGGTGATGATGTTAAGTGATGACGCCAAGGGGTGACGATGTTAAGGGGTGATGATGTTAAGGTGATGACGCCAAGGGGGTGACGATGTTAAGGAATTAAAAGGTTTATACTCTCCATGATAATTACAATATTTCCCCCGTTTTTATTTTTGGTTATTAAAGGAATCCGTTTTCTGTATAATGAAAGATTATTTGTTTATTTAGATTTTATTTTGTCTTATAGATTTAATGAGGTTACAAATAGATTGGCTTAATATATGAGTTTATTTAAGTATTATTTTGTGGGGGTTTTTTTTAGTTGCGTCAGTAGCTATATACGTGGATTAATCACACTACCACTCACTCACTAACTCACTCACTCACTTATTTACTCACTCACACACTCACTACCACTCACTCACTACTCACTCACTCACTCACACACTCACTCAATCACCCACTCACCACACTCACTCACTATTTACTCACACACTCACTACACACCACCACTCACTCACCACTCACTCACACACTCACTCACACACTCACCACAAACCTCACTCACCACACACTACTCACTCACTCACTCACACACTCACCACCACCACACCTCATCACTCACCACCACACACCACTCATTTACCACTCACACACTCACCAATCACCCACTCACCACTCACCACTCACCACCACCACTCATTTACTCACACACACTCACTCACTCACTCACTCACACCACCACTCACCACACTCACACACTCACTCACCACTCACTCACTCATTTACTCACACCTACCACTCACTACTCACTCACTCACACACTCACTCACTCACTCAACGATATATAGATTTCTCCGTGTGGTCGCAGCCGTGTAAGTAACCTGACACTTATTGTTCAATATTTTTGTTTGTTTTATTCATTCACTTCCAAACACATCCGTCTACCATGTCCTGCACTTAGACACAACGTTCGTATCTGGTGGAAATATCACCTCCACCTAAAAAAAACAGAGACCACTATGTTTCCTCTTCTCTCCCTCTCCATCCCTCTCTCATTCCTCTCCTTCCTCTCCATCATAACACAGTAGCGGGGCAGGTGGGGGTGGAGGAGGGGTGGGGTGGGGTGGGGGTGGGGTGGGGTGGGGTGGGGTGGGGTGGGTGGGTGGGGTGGGGTGGGTGGTGGGGGGTGGGGTGGGTGGGTGGGGTGGGGTGGGGTGGTGGTTGGGGTGGGTGGGGTGGGTGGGGTGGGGTGGGGTGGGTGGGTGTGGGGTGGGGTGGGGTGGGGGTGGGGTGGGGGTTAGGAGCTGGTCGGGGGTAAGTCAATCTCGGGTTTACTGGTCTTGTCCAAATAAACTCACTCAAAAGTTGGTTCGCTAGCTTCCTCCAAACATGGCCCTTCAACCGACTAGTGCCTGGTTATCACTTCTCTCTCTCTCTCTTCCTCTCTTCTCTCTCTCCTTCTCTCTTCTCTCTCTTTATTCCATTTTTTCGTCACCGTTTTATGTTGTTTTTACTTTCTTTTTTTCCCCCATTTCGGTTTGGTTGAGATTTTGTCTTTCTCAATAAATTCACGTGAACGAGTTATCTAGTTTACGGTACAACGTTTTTTCAATCACCTCAACTCTGGCGATTTTTAAACAATTTTTGCCTTGTATTTATAGTGAAGCGTAGGGATAGACAGACAGATAGATAGATAGATAGATAGATAGATAGATAGATAGATAGATAGATAGATAGATAGATAGATAGTCAATATTATAATTGTTTTCATTTCAATTGCTTGCCCTCCATGGACCCTCACATCAACACCTGTACCTAACCTACGAACTCTCTCCTCCACCACAAGACCTCTCAGTGGGTGTGATCTCCGCCTGGGACGCTGACGACACTACGGAAGGGACCAACGCCAGACTCACTTATTCCATCGAGAAGAACGTCATCCATGAACGTACGGGTGAAGCCATCTTTAGGACCTCAGTCAGGCCTCATCAGCACCGCCCTCTGTTGCCTTGACCGTGAAACTACACCTGAGTATCACATCCAGGTGGTTGCCTCTGATGGTGGTGGACTGAAAGGTGAGTCGTTTGTTCTGAGGTAATTTAATACTCTACGAGACGACAGGTAATTACATACAGGTGACGGCTATTAATACGATATCCAGGACTATTAAATTGCTTGTGTATATACGATAGTTACCGATACTAGACTAAGCACAATACGAGGTCATCGCTATTCTGAGACACAACCGTGAGAGTGAAAACTAAACGTGTGAATACTGTTTCATCTAAGTTGTGTCCTGTAAAGGGGTTAGTTTGATGGTGACAACGTGTGACGATTAGGTAAACAATTCATAGATATTTTTCACACTAACGTCCAGGTGGCCTCGAGGATAATTAACCTCCAATTATACCAAGAACACCTATGGTTTGATCTATGAAGCTGCTCCACTAATAACAAATAAATAAATAAATGAATAAATAAATAAACACCAATAAATAAATAAACACAAAAATAAACTACAATAAATAAAGGAAAAAATAATAAACTAAAATAAATAAATAAAAATAATAAACTACAATAAATAAAGGAAAAATAATAACTAAAATAATAAAGAAAAATAATAAACTAATAAATAAGAAAAAAAATAAACTAAAATAAATAAAGAAAAATAATAAACTAAAATAAATAATAAACAAATAAAACCCAGGCCAGATATATTGACGGGTTCCTTCCTCCTTTATTATTCAGTTGCTGGTTATTGGTCAGAGCTTCCAGTGACAGGTGAATATTACCCTACTAATGCATTGATATATGACCTTCTACTCCTGTATTTCTACCATTCAAGATTTTGTCCGTAAAGTGTATCTCAGGGTGATGTTATTAATAGTAAGTAGTAGTAGTAGTAGTAGTAGTAGTAAGAGTAGTAGTAGTAGTAGTAGTAGAAGTAAAATAAATAAATAAAAAAATACTAAAAAAAGTAGTAGTGTATTACCTGACTAACCTAAAATAGCCCTTGAACCTAACCCTAACAACTCTTCAACCTAACCCTAACTAACCTCCTCTTCACTTGTGTCTCCTACAGTGAGGTTGAGTCTCCATTGTTTCCTCCACCTCACTCGGGTTCTTCTTCCCACCACATTACTCTTTCTCTTGAGGTAGTCAACTGCTCGGTCTTCTTGTTTTGTTCAGTTAAATGTTCTGTGTGTTTCGCTTTTCATTACTCTCAACTCTCTCGTGTATTTCTCAACATAGTTAAGTTAGTTTGGGTTTAACCTTTAGACAATGAAATACCTTAAAATATTTTGGTTTATAACGACTCATTAAACCACTTAAATAAACAATTGGCTATGTATTACAAAAACAACAATTAAAACAAAGACAAAAGTTAATACTTAGAAAACAACGAAAATACAACATTTTTACATAATATTATTTGTGATGGTAATAATAAAGGGAACAAAAACAGTACGAAAAAAAATAATAATAAAAACGGCATCTTAACCCATCGTCGTGTTTACTGCCCATCGTCGCGTTTAACCCATCGTCGTGTTTATGCCATCGTCGGTTTTGGCATCGTCGTTTTGACCATCGTCGTGTTTACTCCCATCGTCGTTTCCTAACCCATCGTCGCGTTTACTGACCCATCGTCGCGTTTACTGACCCATCGTCGTGTTTACTGACCCATCGTCGTGTTTACTGACCCATCGTCGTGTTTACTGGCCCATCGTCGTGTTTCCTAACCCATGGGTGTGTTTTTGTGTTTGGTGGTTGTGGTTTGTGTGTTTTATCGTCGCGTTTACTAACCCATCGTCGTGTTTACTACCCATCGTCGTGTTTACTAACCCATCGTCGTTTACTAACCCATCGTCGTGTTTACTAACCCATCATCGTGTTTACTAACCCATCGTCGTGTTTACTAACCCCGTATCGTGTTTACTAACCCATCGTCGTGTTTACTAACCCATCGTCGTGTTTCTATTATGTCGTGTTACCCATCGTCGTGTTGTATTCTCTGACAGGGACGGGGACGGTGGTGGTGCGGCTGGCAGATGTGAACGACAACTCACCGACTGGCACGACAGCTATGGGACCTGGAGGTGGACGGACGTGGGGTGAAGGGCCTGACAACGCTACCATACTGGAAGATATCTGCCGCAGACCGTGACACCTCCAACTACTTCTACTACAGGGTGAGATAGATAGATAGATAGATAGATAGATAGACGGACGGACGGACAGAGAGACAGACAGACAAACAGACAGAGAGGTTGGTACCATAATTAGTCAAGGATAATGGCCTCTAATCTTAAAGGCTCTAATCTTTATCCTAATCCTAAAATCAGGCTGGGATTAGGACTCCAGTTATCACCCTTGGTCATCTAATCAGTCTTGGCCCACATAAACAAACCAAATCATGTAGAATTCACCTGTTTCCTTGTTTACCTCCTTGTTTACCTCCTTGTTTACCTCCTTACCTCCTTGTTTACCTCCTTGTTTACCTCCTTGTTTACCTCCTCCTACCTGTTTATCAGATAATTTACTTGTTTATGGAGATCTCGTGAAACTCGGTCAACGTGTGGTGTGGTTGTGTAGTTAACTGGGAGGGTAGTTATATTAGTGAAAACTGCTGTTAGGTCTAATTAATAGCATGTGAGAGAGAGAGAGAGAGAGAGAGAGAGATCAATAAATCAACCAAACACAATAATTTTACATAGACTAAAAGAACAAAGCTGAGACACAACATAAGACTCCCAGCGTAAATTTAAGACACACACACACACACACACACACACACACACACACACACACACACACACACACACACTATAGACTCTCTGGGAAGAACTTAACAAAATGTTTTATCTCTTATTAACATCACAAATAAAAACAACAACAACAACAACAAAAACACCGCAGTAAGGAGTCCTCATCTGGTCTCTCCACTTGCATGTCAACAGGACCACACACACACACACACACACACACACACACACACACACACACACACACACACACACACACACACACACACACACACACATTACGACGCTGCACGAAATTGCCTTTGATCTGAGGGACTGCAAAATATACCACTATCAAACAGGAAGAGCTTTCCCATTCTTTCCTTGGTCACCCTGGCTAAGTGCACTGAAGTATTGGATGGGAGGAGGAGGGATGAAGGAGCAGAGAGGGAGGAAGGGAGGATGTAGAGGAAAGGAAGGAAGAAGGGATGAAAGGAAAGGACAAAGGGAGCTAGAGGAAGTATCATAAGATTATTGAGGAGGAGGAGAAGGAGGAGGGAGCCATTTGAAGAAGAGAAGGGGAAGAGGAGAAGGGGATATGAAGGGAGGAAAGGGGCCATTTGAAGAGGGTGAATGAGAAGGTTAATCCGACTTAAGGGGAGCAGGTGATATTAGAATAAGGAAGAGGCGTTAATAGGATGAGAGGAGGGGGTGATGGAGGTGTTGATAAGGAAGTGTTGGTGGACATCTCGAGGGTGGAGGAGGAAGTGAGAGGAGGAGGTACTGTAGAGAGGAGATGAGAGGAGGAGTGTACTGGTAGAGAGGAGATGAGGAGGAGGTACTGTAGGAGGAGATGAGAGGAGGTACCAGAGAGGGGATGAGAGGAGAGTGTACTGTAGAGAGGGGAGATGAGAGGGGAGGGGTGATGGAGTGTGTTGATAAAGAAGTGTAGGTGAGAGTCCGGAGGGTGGGAGAAGGAAGTGAGAGGAGGAGGTACTGCTGTAGAGAGGGAGATGAGAGGAGGAGGTACTGTAGAGGGAGATGAGGAGGAGGTACTGTGGAGAGGGAGATGAGAGGAGGAGGTACTAGTGAGGGAGATGAGAGGAGGAGGTACTGTAGGGAGATGAGGAGGAGGTACTGTAGTGAGGAGATGAGAGAGGGGTGATGGAGGTGGGATAAGGAAGGGGGACAGTGGAGGGTGGAGAGGGAAGTGAGAGGAGGAGTGTACTGTAGAGAGGAGATGAGAGGAGGAGGTACTGTAGTGAGGGGAGGAGAGGAGGAGTGGTACTGTAGAGAGGGAGGAGAGGAGGAGGTACTGTAGAGAGGGGAGATGAGAGGGAGGAGGTAGGTGTAGAGAGGAGATGAGAGGAGGAGGTACTGTAGAGAGGGAGATGAGAGGAGGAGGTACTGAGAGAGAGAGATGAGAGGAGGAGGTACAGAGAGGGAGATGAGAGGGGGAGGTACTGTAGTGAGGGGAGATGAGAGAGGAGGAGGTACTGTAGGAGAGGAGGAGGAGAGGAGGAGTACTGTAGAGAGGGAGATGAGGAGGAGGAGTACTGCAGAGAGAGAGACAGAGGAGGAGTGGTACTGTAGAGGGAGGGAGATGAGAGGAGGAGGTGTAGAGAGGAGGAGATGAGAGGAGGAGTACTAGAGGGAGATGAGAGGAGAGGAGTACTGTAGAGAGAGAGAGATGAGAGGGGAGGAGGAATGTAGAGAGAGAGAGATGAGAGGAGGAGGTACTGTAGTGAGGGAGATGAGAGGAGGAGTACTGTAGAGAGGGAGATGAGAGGAGGAGGCACTAGAGAGAGAGAGATGAGAGGAGGAGGTACTGTAGAGAGGGAGATGAGAGGAGGAGGGTACTGTAGAGAGGGAGATGAGAGGAGGAGGTACTGTAGAGAGGGAGATGGAGAGGAGGAGTGTAGAGGAGGAGAGGAGGAGATAATGTAAGAGAAGGAGGATGTAGAGAGAGTACTGTAGTGAGGGGGAGATGAGAGGAGGAGTGTACTGTAGAGAGGAGATGAGAGGAGGAGTGTGGTTGGTGAGATGGAGGAGGAGGCATTGTAGTGAGGAGATGAGAGGAGGAGTGTACTGTAGTATGAAGGGTTATGATAAGAAACTCTCCTGTGTTACCTGTGTATCCTTAATAAATCTCTACCTGTAATTAGTCCTTTTACTTACATACTTTATATTGCTGTATTTTTCCTGTGATAAAGTATTTATTTTTAAACACTGGATTGTATTTCATTATCGCGTGTGTGTGTGTGTGTGTGTGTGTGTGTGTGTGTGTGTGTTTTTGGTTAAAGATGGTATATTCTGTATTTGTGTTTCTATTACAGTAGTGTTACTTTGTTGTGTTGTTCCTCCATAACAGTCTATCAACCTCAACATAAGATCCTTCACAAACATCAAGAGATTATAAATATTAAGTACGTCTTAAACTCCTATAATTACCACATGAAAAACAAATTAACTATTCACCAAACGCAACATTATCAAACAATAATTTCTATTTTAAAAACCACAATTTACTCTATAGAAAAACCGAGAATTTGTGGCCTCCGCGCGTCACAGGTGGTGGAGGCGAGCGGGTGGGGTGGGAAAACACTCGGGATGCGCCTAGGAGGGGTGGGTCAGCTGTACGCCACGATGACTCTAGACTACGAGAACGAGACCCACAGGAGAGGCTAAGTTTATTGTCCAGTCACTGATAGGGTAAGTGTGTGTGTGTGTGTGTGTGTGATTCCTGTACAAACCATTCTTACGACGCTATGACATGTTTACTTGATATAGGCATAAAAGCCGATAGAAGCATAACCATAATATACATACACCCACACACACACACACACAGAGGTCTTCATTAAATTACAGCAGAACCTTGATGAATATTGAGTTTGTCCCAGACTTTAAATCACTTATACAACTCTGTCATATATGGAGACCAGGTAAAACAACAATAAAAACAGGTAGATTGTTAAGTCATGTTAATCAAGTCAGGTGTGTGGCGAGGAACAGTGTGATGCGTGTGTACCATACCGTGTCATTATAAGACATTAGTGGTAGTAATAATTCTTTCTTTTGTTTTAGTGACTCTCTCTCTCTCTCTCTCTCTCTCTCATTTTTACCTGTATTATGTCTCTCTCATTTTGACACTGTATTAACTCTCTCTTTTTTTCATTTTGACTCTGTATTATGTCTCTCTCTCTCATTTTTGACACCTTGTTTTGTCTCTCTCTCTCATTTTGACACTCGTATTATCTCTCTTCTATTATCTCCCCAGGGTCAGTGGGGGCTGAAGGACCTCGCCACCTGGACGCTGCGCCTGGTGTCTGGTCCGTCTGAGGACATCAACGACAACCCGCCCAGGTTCCCTGCCCACACGCCCACGTTACTGTGAGGGAGGACGCCGCCCTGGCACCCTCCTGGCCGCCCTCCCCTGCCATTGACCCTGACATAATGGTGAGTAAACCATGCCCACTATGATAGCCCCAAACATTGGGTTAGATATATGAGCAATAGGGTTTAAAAACGGACTGCCCAATATGAACCAATAGGCCCGCTGCAGTTTCTCCATTCCTATGTTCTATACATACAGTAGTCAGTAAACCACGCCCACCGCCTACATGTTGGATTAACCACTCGACCATAGGCAATCTCGCCACCAATATTCCAACTTATACTTATGTCTCTCTCTCTCTTCTCATACTACAAGTACAAAACACATTTTCCTACTTGACAGTCACAACCATTAAAACCTTCCCCTTTCCTTCAACCCTCTCAACCTTCCTCCTTTCTTCACTTCCCTACAAACCTTTCCTCCTTCTCTTCACCCCTCACAAACATTCCTCTCTTTCCTTCACCCTCACAACCTTTCCTCCTCCTTCACCCCTCACAAACCTTCCTCCCCTTCCTTCACCCTCACAACCTTTCCTCCCTTCTTCACCCCCTCACAAACTTTCTCCCCTTTTTCTTCTCCCCAAACCTTCCTCCCTTTCTCTCACCCCCTCACAAACTCTTCCTCCTCCCTTTCCTTCACCCCTCACAAACTTCCCTCCCCTTTCCTTCACCCTCACAAACCTTCCTCCCCTTCCTTCACCCTCACAAACCTTCTCCTCCCCTTCTCCTTCTTCCCTCACAACCTTCCTCCCCTTTCTTTCACCCTCAAACCTTCCTCCCTTTCCTTCACCTCACAACCTTCCTCCCCCTTCCTTCACCCTCCAACCTTCTCCTTTTCCTTCACCCTCACAAACCTTCTCCCTTCCTTCACCCTCAAACCTTTCCTCCCCTTCTTCACCCCTCACAAACACTTCCTCCCTTCCTTCACCCCACAACCTTCCTCCCTTCTCACAATTTCACAAACCTTCCTCC